TTTTTAATTTTTTATATATCATATATATTTCAATATTTTTACAAAATATGATAAAGCTTTTAAAAAGGTACTCCTAAAGGCACATTCAAAATTATATTCCAGTTAAAATTTAGCATAACATTTGAGAAACTAGATAAAAGTTCATTCACATCACTCCACATTAACTCACAAATAAGGAAACATTTATAAGTTTTAGCCTCACAAGGACAATGGGTTCAACGATATCTTATATGCTTACTATTAATGTTATCTAAGGTAACTAACCTGAGCAGCTTATAAAGCAAGTTAAAGCTCTTCAAGCAATTCATTTTTGCAATTAAATTAACAATGTGGAAATAATTATAATAAATTTATAATTAAAAACTGCGAATTTGGTTGAGCGAAATACGAAATAAGACTAAGGAAACGAGTTCGTAAAACCCCAGAGTCAAGTTTCACAGCAAAAAATAAAAATAATAAAAATAAAAACTATAAAAAAAAAACTTTAATTCTTAATGGGCTAAACAATTGAAAATTGAACTAACCGTGATAAAAATAATTGAATTAACAGTAAAACTATAACAGTAAACTATAATTAGGAAAATTCCAATTTGAATAGAATTCGCGAACTGTTCTGCTACAGCTTCTTCTTCTTCGTCGTCTACTATGCAACACTTAAAATCCAAGTGCAGTCATAAACGACATGCCAAAGCTTAACGGCTTTTTTCGCCGAATAACTGTTAAATTAAAAATTGGCACAGCTGTCAAATCAATTGGAAACTGAATAATAGGAGGATGGCGGAGAGTGGCGAGTGGAGAGTGCGATTGGGACACACTGACCGGACGAAAGAGCAAAGAAAAGAGCGTGACAAATCAAAATCAAAAATTAAATAAAAAAAAAAAAACACAAACAGAAACAAGTTCAAGGCCAAGCACACACACACACACACACACAGAGACACTCACCTGCCATTGGCTGTTCCAGCAGCTGGCTTCGGCGACGCTGTCTCTGTCGACGTCTCTGTTGACGTCTCAGTCGACGTCGTTATCACAGTATCGGGCAGCACCGGCCTGTAGATGAGCGGCTTAACATTGCGCTCGACGTCGTCCAGGAAGACGACATCGTGCACGGGTATCAGCCGGTGATCGGAGACATTGAAGTGGAGATCGCGGAAGGGTCCGTGCAAGAGGCAGCGCAGCGTCGACGAAGCAACGACGTCCGTCTCGTGTGGCGGCAACTGCAACAAGCATAAATCCAATTAGAAATCAGTACACATGTATGCGTGGGTCGCCAATTGACATTCAAATTGGAATCACATATTGGGAATTGGATTCAGCACCTTGATTTTGCCATTGGCCGCAGAGAACATTTGTCAGAGAGCAGCGCACAAGTAAAACAATAATATTAACTACTAGAATAACCACATAGCACGCTCAGAGGCGGCAAATTGCAATATATATGTATGTACACACCACAACACAACAAATAATAATAAAAAATAAAAATAAATAATAAAAAAAAGCAACAAAAACTTTCAACACGCGTGCGTCGCGTCGCGTTGGGCAGCGGCAAAAAAAAATTAGGCACAAGAGGGGAGCCAAACGAACGGAAAAAAAAAAATAAGAAAATAAATAAACGCAGGCGAAACAATATATACAGCCGAAGCAACGATGCCTATGATTTTGTTATTTATGTTGTTTAATTAATATGTTTGTGCCACATGCACAAAACATTATGCTGCGGCTGCGCCTTCACTTTGCATTTCACTTGCCCAATGCGGCGGCAACATTGCGACAGCAGCCAGCAGCTAGCAGTCAACAGCAGCAAAAACAATAACAATAACAACAACACGCAAAATCAGGCACAACCGCAATTTAATTTTACTTAAACGACTCGCTCGCTCGCAACTGGCGCCGCTCTCCAATTGGTCCATGGAGACGATCAGTTTGAATCAGCTGTGTCTAACTGGCCGCTCTGGACGGCAGGCTAGGTGGCAACGTATGCGCTCAGTGCTGCCAGACAAACCCAGCCGGTGAGACCACAGCAACACTGGTTTGTACTATTGGGCAACACTAACCGCACAGAAGAAGCAGCAGATGCAGCGACAAGCCATGAGAAAAATATTAAAATTATAACGTTTAATATATACATTATACACACAACCCACACAGTACACGAGATTTTCCGTTAATAATCAGGTAAGTTTGGCCATATAAAATGCATATTAGTTTTATACTCAAACTCTGGCTACCAGTCACCGCACGCTGCCGCTGTCTGTACATGTATACGCATGTTTGCTTGTGTAGAGCTGGCGGCAAAAAGAGAGGGAGTAAAACTGTGCCGCTGGCGCTGCCGGTGTCTCGCATCGCAATCTATGTATGTAAATTTAGCGACGAACAGACAATGCCAAAAGAATAGACGAAAATTGCAGTGTTATTATTATTTAATTTGAATTTGCATACTTAAGTGATGAGCATAGCATGTGTGTACAATAATGTTTGTGTTTTCCTTTCGCTTCTAGAATTCATGCATTTGCTGTACTGAATTCAACGAACTTCACAACAGCTACAAGAACAACTACAATAACACAACTGCGACAGAAGCGGAGGCAAGAAGTACAGTAAGAGAAGGGTAAGCATTTAACAAACAAAAAAGCATGAAGTTTAACCCAAAACTCTTTTGCTCTAGGCGCAAATTTTTTGGTTACAATTTTCGTTTTTAGTTGCTAATGTTCTGTTGTTAATGTTCTGTTTCTCTTTATATTAGTTTTGTTTTTCTGCATTGATAGCATCGATATGTCGCACACCATTTTGCTGGTACAGCCGGGCGCACGGCCGGAGACGCGAACCTATTGCGACTATGAGAGCGTCAATGAATGCATGGAAGGCGTCTGCAAGATCTATGAGGAGCATCTGAAGCGACGCAATCCGAACACGCCCACCATTACGTACGACATCAGTCAGCTGTTTGACTTTATCGATACGCTAATCGACATTAGCTGCTTGGTCTATCAAAAGAGCACCAATACCTACGCGCCCTACAACAAGGACTGGATCAAGGAGAAGATCTATGTTCTGCTGCGTCAGGCGGCGTTCAGTCCAAATGCCTGAGATGGCCTCCACTGCTGACTAGCCAAACGCAACCAAATACCACTTATAGCCTAATATCAATGGGCTTAAGATATAAAAACAACACGACAGCAACAACAACAACAACAACAGTAAGCAAAAGTACGAAATAAAGATAGTGCACTGATTTAGTCAGTAATCAATCAATAAATCAAGTCATTTGCAACTAATTACATTGTGGAAAAGCAAATGAGATTGATACTAGCAGCAGTGTGAGATGCGTCCCATTCGTACGAATTTTGGATTCTAATTTCAATCTTACCTGAACGTAGGCAGTGAATGTATTGCTTCTACCACTTTTTGTTGTTTTTTTTTTTATATATATATAAATATATAAAGCTAAGTGAAAAAGTTCTTTGATTAATTTACTATCTATGTGTGTATAGATATACATAGCATTTGTATTTGATTGGGGCGATAATAAGTAAGAGATCAACAAGTTTATGTAAAAAATTGTTACAATTACAGAAATACTTATCTCTTGTGCATTAGAAAATTAAGATTGTCATCGTTTTGTAATGCATTCATACTTTTAAGCGTATTTCTGGTCAATACGGCGGCAGTCATCGAAACAGTAGTGAAAATGAGCTATGGATATTAAGCACGATATTAACATATAACTTATCCTCAATATATGTTAATCTTAATATTCATTTTGTACAACATTATCATATATACATATTGAATTTTGTCAATCATTGTATTTTAATTGTACTCTATAGCAAATCTTTTTCGGTTTGTCTATTTTTTTCCAGAAGCACATCCACTACTATTTGAATGAATACTGCCGTATTGACAGCTTGCCTCTTCTCGCAGTCCCAATTAAATATAAATGCTATGACCTACTTTGTTAGATTTAATGTAGTCTTAAGCGAAATTTGAAGTGAAAATTTATTGAATACATAATTTTATTTTGATTTAGAGAGATATGTAGAAAAACCTTAATCATATTTTATTTTAATAAAAAATTATTGAAGAAGCTAAATAAATGTGTATAACTTTTATTTGACTATTTAGTGTAATTTATATGAATTTCTGGCATAAAATGCGCGTGAAATAAGTAACTGGGACAAAATCAGAATTTTACTTCGTAAATCCTAAATAAACTTTAAATAGAGCACCCTTGCTTTAGTCGTCTTGGCATTGAATTAATCAGAATTTAGAGCATTATTACGCCCAATTACTCCCATTCTTGAATTGGCATTTTCGTATAATCCAAATAGTAGTAAAACTGTCTATATAGATAAATGTAATTTGTCTAATACTAGATAGCATCACAATTTTCATTTCTTACTATATTTTGATGACTAAAAGTATACATCATTTGAAAAAAAAAAAAAAAAATGAAAAAAATATATACTTATATACTTCTACTACTGAGACACGAGATTAGCTATCTGCAATTAGGATGATAATATATTATTAGACAACAACAAAATCCCATGTGCTACCGTGTTTAACTTTAGCGTTTTTTATCACATAGTACAACAAAAAAGCTCTAGAAAAGTTAAGACTTTGCTTGCATTATAAAAACAGTCAAGATCTTTATAAATATATATGCACATATGTACATACATACATATATACATATTTCCCTCAACAGCATATGTATGTATGTATGTATGTGTACACACATGTATGTACATATACATACATATTTATGCATATCTGTTTAGACAACGCGGTATGAAAAGCTTTAGAAAGGTTTCGACTTTAATTTCATTCTAAATGCGGTCAAGATCTATTTAAATATACATATATGTATGTACATACATACATGTAGGTATATTTGTATATCTCTGTCCCTCCCACTCTCATGCATAACGGTTTAACCAATAAAGACTAGTTTAGCTGGATGCTGCGTCGTTGCATTTGGTTTTTGTTTGTTTAGATTTTATAAATGAAACAAAGCACTTGATATTAATTGATGTTGGCCAAGTCTAAAAGGAAAATGAAGTTTTTGCCATTAGCTAAACAAATTGAGTTCAATCGCTTCACCTTCAGTGCTGCAGTTTGAACCGCAAAAGTGAGAATCATAAAATCTTGTTAATTGGCAATTGTTGACGACTTTATTTTATCTGTGGGTATGCGTGCGTGTGTGTGTGTGTGCGTGTGTGTGTTAAAATATATAGAACCTTTGGTCGTTTTAGTGATATTAGCGTCAGTAGCCCGTAACGAGAGTAAATAACAAAATATAAACAATTGCAAAGCTGAAGCTGAAGCTGGCTCAGCAAAAGCCTTGAGGGGCGTCTGCGTCGACGTCGACGTCGCAGTTGGCGTCGCCACAGCTGCATTGAACTTGGCGTGCATTCTATATGCATACATACATACATACATAAGTATGTATACATAGATATATTCACTTATCGTTCTTGTTCGTTTTGTTTTGTTTTATTTAATTTTTTTTAATTGGCCAGCCAACTTTTGTTGTAATTGAATGTAAAAAAAAACTAAGCAATTTAATATTTGTAGTTACTACGAACTGGTTTTTGCGACTTCACAGCAAACATTTAAAGCCAGGCAGTCAAATAGCAACAACAACAAATGTCAATGTCAAGTTCATGCCATATTTGACCACACACACACACACACACACACACACACGCACGCATGAAATTTGATATGCAATCGCTATTGCTATCTCTTTCGTTTTAGAGTAGAATCTTAAAAGCTTTGGTTTTTTTTTGTTTCTTGTGTTTTCCTTCTTATTCACATTACCATTTAATTAGATCTATACAAAAAAACAAAAACAATAGTCGTATGTTATTTAAATCTGCTCTTCTGTCTGCCTCTGCTTTATTAAACGTTATTTCTACCTCACTTATGACGCATTTGCCGTGCTGGATTAGCCTCAGCTTCATATTCAACTTCATATTCCACTTGCAGTTTCGGTTTGCCGCGTCGCTTAGCTGCAACTGTTGTTGTTGTTGTTGTTGTATCCTTTGTGGCTGCCTCTGTTGTTGTCTTTGACTTCTTATCTTCGGAGCTGCGCTTCTTTGTGGATTTCGTCGGCACGTGGGTGTCCTGCATAAAACATTTGCGTTATTTAACACTGCTTTTTATAGTTGTTCTTTTCTATTATGATTTTTTTTTTCGTTTGTCTTTTTTTTTGGCAATTTGTCACTCGAAAAGCGCGCCTCAGGTTGCGAGTCAATATGCGCGCGCGCGCGTTCATCGACTGCCGTCGCCGTCGTCGCTTGATGTGCATGGTGCTATCAGCGCCGCAGCCAGCAGTCGAGAACGTTGGCAGTGACGCCGGCAGCGCTGTCGTCTACTTTCTGCCGGCCGGCAACAAAACAAAAAACAAACTTGTCTTGTTTTCATTGCAAATTATGGTAATTAGACTTGGGCAATGCATGATTTTTGCATAAGAAACAAATGCGAAACAAAACAAATTCTGAACGATGCAAATGTCAACAATAAACTCTGTCGAATGTTAAATTGCCAATTGAAGTGAAAAACAAAAACAAAACGAAGAAAAAATAACATAGTAAATGTGAACTATCTGAATTTGTACCTCAATATCATCTTCGTTGTCATCATCATCGTCGGACTGCGCAAAGTCGCTGTCCATTTCCACTTCTTCGCGCTGCCCTGAATCGCTCTCCTCATCTTCATCATCCTCATCGCCATAATCCTCGTCCTCGTCTTCATCATCATCGCTGTCCGCCTCGACAAACTCTTCTGTATCGTTGAGTGCACGTCGCAGCTCCCTGGCTTCATCCACTTCCATTTCCGTCTCATGCTCGCGCTCTTCCTCTTCGTCCTCCTCCTCGCGCTCGTCCTCATCCTCGTCCACATGCTCCGCTTCCAGCGCCTTGTTAAACGCCGTCTGTGAGAAATTATAGATATCCTTGTACGTGCCATTCTTCAAGCGCGTCAGCAGCTCCTTCTCAATGTGATTATCGATCTTGGCCGCGATGAGCGCCTTCTGTTCACGGCGCGCTTCGCGTCGTTCGATCTTCGTGGATAGCGGCACAATCAGCTTCTGGCGGCGCAGCTTCAGCCTTCGCATGCGCATCAGATACTGTGTGATCTTCAGGAATCTCTGCTTGTTCTTGGCTATCATGTATTTGGGCCAGAAAACGAGGTTTTCGTTAATCTGCTGGATGGCCTTCTCGAAATTGCGCGACAACTTGATGCGCTCCCACAGCTTACTCGGCATATGTGCCCGTTCCGCCGTCTTAATGAACAGATATATGATGCCCTTTTCCTCGCGTACTGTTGCATATTGTGAGTTGGCCAGCGGGCAGGTGCGACGCGTGCACAAGCCCGTCAGATTGTATTCATGACGACAGAAGGTGCGCGTATCAGTTCTACAAGAAAAAATTTGTTGCTTCTCAATGTCATTTCCATTTTAATTCAATTTATAGTAACTTACTTGACTTTGTGTGAGCAGAAGGATTTGTTGATGATGCTCCAAACGACCTGGGCGAGAGCGAACAGTTTTATTTAGATTAACTTATTTGAATTTGGTATACTCACATCGTCGTGTTGCATTTTGTCTCAATATTTTGATTTAACGTTCCTGTTCTGTATATTATGAATCAAATTAAACACTTTTTGTTAACACGTGCAACGTGCTAGCGGCTTTCAAAACACACGGCTCGTGTTAAGCATTCGCTTGTCAACGTTTTCGTGTGGCCAGCTAACATAATCGATTCATCGATAACATACACATTTTGGCTATGCAACTTATATGCTGAATGCAAAACATGACAGGATAGCAATGCTTAATTTACTGCTCTTAATCAAAAATTGATATTATTGATTAAGTTGAATTAATCTTATAGAAGCATTTTCATTCAAAGACCTATCAAAGCCAGTCAACATTCTTGCATGTACGCAGATTTATAATTAGTATGCAAATTATTTTCATAAATATTTTACTTATTTAATGCCGTGCAATGCCGTGTGTTGGGTAGCTTGGCTAGCGTAAATATTTATTTGTGAAAATATGCCATGCATATTTTGAGCAGCATACCTTGCTACATAGCTTCAGAATTTTTATTCAATAGTGCCGGCTATCGCATCGCTCAGTCGTGTTTCCCGTATCGTCATCGATATTGCCTTAAGCAAACTGACATAAAAGGACAAGAACTAGCCGCTGTCACTGCCCGGTTTTTTGTAGTTGTCATATACATACGTATATATAAATAGTTTGACGTTTGTTTTCTCTCATTTTATCGTGACTGTGATTGGAAGTAGTTCTAGTCAAATAAAATTAAAAAGAAAATTTTAAAACCGGAAACAAACAAAAATACAATGAAATCTCTTCTATTAATGATTGCTGCCAAGGCGCTGCCGATTTTGGCGCTTAGTTTTGTGGTCTGTTTAATGCTCTTCAAGATGTACGTGTACGTGCGGTAAGTAAGGCAGAAATTTTTTTCATATTATGTATGTATGTATGTATGTATTTTGGAATGGGACATGAGGTAACAATTATGCTTCAATTGATATGTATATGTATGTATATTCGTGGTTAGCTCACGTTTCGGCATAACGGTAAACTGTTGGTTCTGCAACACAAACTCTTGCGTGCCGTACGCCGATCGAAACAGCTGGAACTGTCCCGAATGCGAGCAGTATAATGGCTTTACTCGCGATGGCGACTATAACCGTGATATATTGACTGAGCATGACTGCAGCACACGTTCCGATGCCAACTCCTCCATGGACAGCAACAACGCCGGGCTCTGTGCCAATGCTTACTATGGCAATGCCATGGCCGGCGGACAGCCGCCACCGAATGACAACGGACTGTGCGCCCAGTGCAATGAAGCGCAGCGCCTGAAGGTCGAGAAGCTGGCTCAGTTCGAGCCACGTAGCGAGGCACGCTTCGACCAGGAATTGAAACGCTTTAAGTGAGTAGTCCAGAGAATGTTCCCTTCTGCCTCATAGATTCACTCATTCGCTTGACCATAGACAAGAGCTGGAACAGCGCTATCGCCTCTGCACCACCTGTGAGCGCCATGTCAACCGCGTGCTCCACGACAAGAAGAAAATGGTGCTGGGCGCAAAGCTGCTGAATTTCATTATGAAGGGCGCCGCCTTGCTCAAGCAGCCGCATTATGAGCGTCTCGCTCGTGCCCAGAAGCAACGCTGCCTGATGCGCTACAAGCTCTGGATGAAGGTAATGACAATGGTCAACATCGTCTGTCTGTTGTGCACTCTCCCCACGGCCACATCGGAGCAGTTCAACGAGATGCTGGGCAACAAACTGGCCAAGCCCACCTATTTCGTCTATACCCACGCCCTGACCATGCTGCATCTGACCGTCGCCTATGCCAGCGAGTGGCTGGCCGAACAGGACTTCCTCTCAAAGCTCTGGATGTTTGCCGCCATCGTGGGCAAACTGATCTTGTACTCCGTGGGCACACCGCAGTCCCAAGCCGACGAGCTCACCTTCAACAGCTGCTACAGCAGCTTCTATCCGTATGCCATGCTGGTCATCAGTTTTATAAGTAACATTGTCTCTGGATTCAAGTTGAGTCGCTATACCGCGCTGCTCGTCTTGTGGAGCATCTATGCCAAAGGTTCCGTTTTGATCTCTGAGGCCATCAATGGCATTACATTCATTGTGAGTACTCTTAATTTTCCATATCGATTCCTATTCCGAGCTTCACTAATCCCATTCCTGCCAAAGCTGTTGGGCAGCTTGTTCACCCTGATCTTGTTGTATATGCGTGATGACAGTCGCTTGGAGGAGATGTCGGCGTCCGAAAGCTTCCATCGCCTCTGTACAGACGAATGCATCAATGACGAGGAGACAATCAGCATGATCAGCGAGCAGCTGAGCTGCAATGGAAACAACAACAACAACAACAGCAATGCCAGCCAGTGTGGCAACCTGTCGGTGCTGAGCTCCAACTGTCGGACCCCGAGCCCGGCCCCGACCCAAATCCCAGCTCTAACCCTGAAATCGAATCCGGCCCCACAGTTGCGCAGCGCCAGCCTCAACAGTTTGGGCAAGCCACTTATTGCACCTTCGGTCCTGTCTATGGGTTCGCTGCGTGTCTCTTCGCAGCGCACAAACTTCAATCCGATGTCCGCATCGCCACTGCCTTCACCGATGCCAGCCACCAGCTACAGCACTAACTATCTCACCCAGACCTCCGTGTACTCGACCGCCAGCGTGGACCAGCAGGACTGGCGCAACAACTATGCTGTGGGCATGAACACGCATGCAGGGGATGGTATATGGCAGCGCACTAACGGCATTAACTCTAATTATCAGACTTCTGGACGGACCACCAATGGCTATGATCAGCGTCCGATGACTCGCTCCACCAACAACTTGCTCTGTCCGTCGCACCTCATATTGCAGCAGCAGCGCGAAAGCAACATCTCCGCCTGGGTGAACGCCACCTGTATCCATTCGCAGCCGGATCTGCTAGATGAGCCAAACACCGCCAATCTAATGCTTTGCAACGACAACAACATTCGCGACATCTCATGCACCTCGTCCCAGTCCTCAGGCTTCGAGTCGCAGCTGGGCAATCAGCGTCTGGAGTCACAGTTTGGCTCAGTTTCAGGACAGGACCAGTCATCGTTGAAAAATCTTAATGCTGGTGTGGGACGTGATTACACATTACCTTTGCGCTTGCAGTCGCCTCGTGTCTCGTCGTACGCCGGACAGGGAGTAAACGAGATTCGTCCCGGGGATCTGTTGCGCAAGTGGATGGAACGCGACGGAGCCGCCAAGACCGATTGATTTGTCTTGATCTAGTCTTCTTCTAGTTAATTATCTTGTGTTTATTATTTCGGTAAATTTTCAGGTTTTTGGTTTCAAAATTTTTTATTTTCTCTTTTTATGTTTTATTTTTTATTTTCTCTTTTTATTTTCTTTTTTATTTTCTCTTTTTTTTTTTTTTTTTTTTTTTTTTTTTTTTTTTTTTTGAAAAAAAAAAAAAAA